CTTGGCTTGGTGTTGTCAGCACCACGCTCAGCCAGTGAGCTAACCGGCCATCCCTCTATGGGATCCGAACCCACGGCCTTGGTGGTATCAGCACTGAACTCTCCCGAGTGAGCCACGGGCCGGCCCCGATGCATCTTTAATTAATAAAATCCATCACAGAAGAAGAAGGAATTGTCAGACCAAAAAAGAAAGGCATATTGACCATTGCTTCCATTTCAATGAATTGTCTGATAGTATCTGATAGACTATTTTTTCCTCCTACAATATGGCTGAAAAAATACTGGTTAGTCCCATCACATAGCAGTGGGTTCTGATATCACTGGATCCATTATTTTTGGAATATATTATACTAATGATAAGAATGTATTTCCACATAAAAAAAATTACCTCAAAATCCTGACATTTTTCCCATTTGAGCTTAGTGCAGTATTACTTCCATAGACATCAGTGAAGATTCTGCCTTGGATTGTTATTAGTGTACCTAAAAACAAAAACAAAAAAACCTAAAAGGTCTGTGTAAGAATATCTATCCATACACTTAATATCGAAACACTAGAGGTTTTCCTAATAAAATGAGCATCCAGATACTTACATCTCATGTTCACTAGTGTTTAGCTCTGAGAATTCTATCAAATATAATAGAACACAAATGAGCTTCTGTATTCATTAAAGAGATGTATCATGGGAGACAGGATGAATTATTCAAAATTTATTGCTTGGAACAATGGGTGATTTATCTGGAAAAAAAGACCCCTACTCTATACCAAAAATAAAATCAATTCTAGGTAAAATAAAATTAAATATTAAAAATAAACTCATAAAAACTCTTGGGGAAAAAAGTGATATCCTGGCATTTGCAGATACATGGATGAAACTGGAGACCATCAAGTGAAGTGAAGTAAATCCAGCATAGAAAGACAAATACCACATGATACCACTCGTATGTGGAATCTTAAAAAATAAATAAATAAATAAGTGGTTCTCATATAAGTAGAGAGTAGAATAACGGTTACTAGAAACAGGAAAGGGGGAAAGAAAAAGTGGTGGACTAATGGATACAAAATTATGCTATCTACCCTAAGGGAATCAT